AAGCTTAGATGTGCATTAGTCACCACGGTGGAGGGAGAGTAGGAATCCTAGACTCAGAGTCAGACCTCAAAGGCAATGATCCCCACACTGATGAAATCCCTCCCAGCCTTGCTCCAATGCCTTGATGAGCAATCATCAAGCTCTGCTTGGAAGTCTCTGTGTCAGAGAACTCCCTGCCTCCATGGTGGCCCCTTCCAGCTGGGACAGCTCTGCACACATCCTTCTCAGCACACATCTGTGTCCTGTGATGACCACACACTTGTCCTCAGAGAAGAGAAGAGACCCAGGCCCACCCTGTGTCCCACAGTAGGGATGCATTCTCTGAGCAGAGTCCTCCTGGGACTAGTAATTCTGGTTCTGAGCCCTCGGCTTTGTCTGCCCCCTTGGGAGCTGGACAGTGACCCAAGGAAGTTAGGGGTTGGGGAGACAGGTGCGGTGCTCCTAGAGAATGGACAAAAATAAACCAAAGAAGATCTGGGTCTCATGCTGGGGGCGCTTGGCATCTCCTCCTTCAAGACTCTGAACACTGAGAAATAAGAGGGCTCACAGAAGACTGACAGCTTCCCACTAGAGCCATGGGACCAGTTCCAGACCAACTGGAGGAGTAGGAGGGACTGTGGAGGCAAATATATCCCTAAGCCAGGAACTGAGGCCTCAGTGGGCACTCTCTGACCCTGTCTGTCCACTCTGGCTACCCTCCCAGCCCCTTGAGACAATGCATCACACCCATTCACCGCTTTCTCGTCCTCCTCTCACCACGAGCTTGCCCCGGACACATATGCAAATACATCCGTGACCTTTGGTTCAACACCTAACATGTCAGCTACCCAAGGGCAAGGTTTTTATTCACTAACTGTATCCTTGGTGCCCATAAGAGTGCTTGGTCCATAGAAGGTGCTCATTAAATATTTAAGTACTTGTTGAATGAATACCCACTGGGCACTTTTATTTGCTTTTCTCTAAATCAGTGATTCTCAACCTTCCTAATGCCGAGACCCTTTAATACAGTTCCTCATGTTGTGGTGACCCCCAACCATAAAATTATTTTCGTTGCTACTTCATAACTGTAATTTTGCTACTGTTATGAATCATAATGTAAATATCTGATATGCAGGATGTATTTAGGTGACCCCTGTGAAAGGGTCGTTCGACCCCCAAAGGGGTCGCGACCCACAGGTTGAGAACCGCTGCTCTAAATTAAATATTTATCAGAAAGGCCCATGGCTCCCACTTCATTCACTGATTCAACCAACATTTACTGAGCCTTTACCATGTTCCGGGCACGTGGTATATCATTATGAGTAAGAGGAAGCTCCCCACTGCCCAGAGAGGTGGGGTGAACTGCCCATATCCGTAGCAGAGGAGGACGAGGCCCCAGGTTCCTTGGCCTCCAGAGCCCAGATCTCTTTCCATGACACCATAGGCTTGTGATTGCTAGTCAGGGCAGACTGGCAGCACACACCCAGCCTGGCGCCAGGCCGCAGGGCACTGTGGGGCCCATTCTGGGGGACAGATGAGCACCTTGCAGACAGCTGCCCTGGGTGACAGGCCTGGCCAGAATGATGGCTTCTTGCTGTCACAGCTAGTGCAGGCTGCTCCAGGAGAGGGCGCCAGCGACTGGAACAGGTCAGTGCCTTCCCTACCCAGGCCCACACACCCCTGCTTGTGAATCAATGCATGCCCATATTGTGACTATTCCAACAGGAGACACACAAGCCATGTTCCAGGCTCTGTGCCAGGCCCTTTATAAATAGTTAATATTCATGTTAATATTTAATATAATAATTTAAAGCCATCACAACCACCTAAGTCAGATCATGTAATTCCTCGGCTCAAAATTCTCTGAGATAACTTTCTGGTTCACTAGGAATAAAAGTGCCATGGCCTACAAGGTGCTAGGCATCTGACCTCATGTCTCTGTTCAGCCCCATTGGTCTCCTGACTCCTCTTTGAGGCCACCTCTAATTGGAGCAGTCCTACCTGGATATCTGTGCCATTTGCTTCCTCACCCAGGAGTAGGAATCCTAGATTCAGAGTCAGACCTCAAAGGCAATGATCCCCACACTGATGAAATCCCTCCCAGCCTTGCTCCAATGCCTTGATGAGCAATCATCGAGCTCTAACCACCCTACCACATTCCTATCTCCATACCCTGTTCCATTTTTCCACAGCACTTATCTTCTTCTAAAAATCTTTATTATCTACAATAATAAAAGCATAATATGCTAATTAGACCTGACAACACCGGGGGCTGCGAGGGAAGCCCGGGTCCCAGGTGCCGTAGGGAAGCCGGGGGAAGGAAGGCCTATTCTTGTATGAATTTTGTATGAATTTCGTGCATCAGGACTCTAGTTTCTTTATAAAGAAGAAATAAGCAACAAATATAAGCAACACAGGGGTAGGAATACTTGTCTGCTTTGTTCACTGCTATACTCCTAGTGCCTAGAACTGTGCCAGGCACATAGTAGGAACTCAAGAATTTGTTGAATGAATGGATAAACCCTGAGTTGGATCACCCCCATTTTATAGATGAGTAAACTGGGGCTTAGAGATGTCAAGATCACACAGTTCATGATTCAACCAACTAACCAACCAACCAACCAACCAGCCAACATTTACAGACCATCTACTGCATTCTACACAAATCATTGAGGCACAGTGCTAGGTGGCTTTGGGTTATTGGTTTTTAAAAACAGTTTCTAGTCCTTTGTTCTTGATGTTCCAACTGCTTGCAATGTCTTGCCTCTACATTTTAACAATTCAGTTTACAGTTAAAAATTCAATTTATCATCAGTGGTTGCGTGCAGAGGGCATGTTAGACTACAAAGGGGATGCTCAGGCAAATATTTAGGATGATCATACTGTTTTGTAAGGTCCTGGGGTAGTGGATACGTGATTCTCTGCATTTTTTAAAACCCGAGAACTGCACAGTACAAAGAGTAAGCTTTAATGTATGCAAACAACAAAATTTCCATTCCTCAAGGCTTTTAATCTCTATGGACAAAATTCACTATTTAAATTGTTTCTTCTTTCCCCTGTCCATGAACACACACACAAGCACACTGACTTTGGTCTCCCAGAATGAAGACGTGGGGTAAGGGGGCGACATTGAGAGCACTTTTCTCCATCTGCAAATGACTCAGGGCTCCTCCTGCCTTCCCAGGCTTATCCCTCAGGGCTCAAGGTCAGACCTGGGCCCCTCACCTGGACTTTAAAAAATATTTTTTATTTTGAGATCATTGTAAACTCACATGTGGTTACAACACAGAAAAACAATACAGAGATAACCTGTATGCCCTTCATCTGGTTTCCCCCAGTGGTAACATCTTGCATAACTATAATACATGATCAGAACAGGAAATTGCCATTGATATAGCTCACCCACCTTCTTCAGATTTTGCCAGGTTTATATGTATGATTCGTGTGTATGTGTGCGTGTGCGTGCACACATGTGCATGCATTCAGTTCTATGCAACTTTATCATGTGTAGATCCATGTGACCACCACCACAGTCAAGATACAAAACTGTTCCAGCACAAAAGTCTCAGTCGGACTTTTAAAAGCAGTTATGTCCCGCCCTGGCCAGTGTGGCTTAGTTTGATGGGCATCGTCCGGTGCACCAAGAGGTTGCAGGTTCGATATCTGGTCAGAGGCATGTGGATTTTGGGCTGGGTCCCAGGTATGGGTTGTGTAGGAGTCAGCCGATCAGTCTCTCTCTCTCTCTCTCTCTCTCTCCTTCTCCCTTCCTCTCTCTCTAAAAAGAAATAAAAAATATTTAAAAAAGAATTTGCCAGCAGGCATTAAATAAATAAATAAAACATAAAAGCGGTTATGTCCTATCTTGATGTTTCTCAAAGTGCAACCCTTAAATGCATCAGTCACCAGTCACCTGGGACACTAGTTAAATGTGCAGACTCCGGACCTTCCCAGCACCGCCTACTGAACCCGCATCTCTGGGGGGTGGAGCTTGATTCTCTGTACTTTGTACAGGTGCCTATTTTGAGAACCACTGCTCTAACTGGCCTTCAACTCTCCCACCTCCAATCCACCCTCCACACTGTGGCTGCCAGAGGGATTCTTCTACAACACAGCTCTGGCCATGTTATCCTGCTGCTTAGCACCCGGCAGTGGCACCCAACTGTCATCAGGAGACTGACTTTAGCAAGCAAAGCTCCCTGGGTCAGGCCCCACTTCCCACCTCCACTCACCCTCCCCACTGCAGTTCAGTCCTTCCAAACTCCTCTGATTCCTAGAACACATCATCTGCTTTCATCATGTTCTGATTTCGGCCATGCTGTTCCTTCCCTCTCCTCTCTGCCTATTGCAAACCTGTTCAACTACCCATTTTCACAGATGAGGACTTGGAGGTTGAGAGAGGCTTGATGTCACCCAGCAAGCGCAGGCACGACCCGCTGGGAGCCAGAATCCACCCCACTCCCTGCTCCTGGTCTTGTTGTTTACCACACGGTCATGGAGGCTGCGGAGGCCTCTGGTCTGGCTGTCGCTCCCCTTCGCCGGGCCTTCCTTCCCATCTGCCGCTCAGACACTTCACCCAAGACCTCCTGTCCCTCTCCCAGCTGGGAATCTGGGGCCTGCGGGGAGGGAGGAAGGGAAATGGGATCGAGCCCAAGGGTAACCCGACTCCTCGGAGTGGGCTTGGGCGCAGACACACCATGGGGGAGGAGGCTGGGACTCTAAACTTGGTGAGGGTCTGGGGGCACCTGGAGGGAGGGAAGGAGCGGAGTGGAGTCCAAGTCCCCTCCTCTGCTGCCCCCTCCCTCCACAGCTCCCTCGAAACTGGAGCCGGGGGCCCTAAAAATAGCCCCCGAGGAGCAATTGCCAGCAGGCCGCCCTGGTGACCTTCTGGGTAGCGCAGGCTGAAGGCGGGCGGGCAGCAGAAAGGCAGGGCGCCGGCCCCCCAGGACTCACCTTCCAGGCGCCATCCCCGGGCGCCCCCGTGCCGTCGGTTCCAGCACCCCCCAGCCCAGCTCGCTGAGGCCATGCAGAAATCGCGGGGCCTGCGAGGCGAGGAGGCAGGCACCAGGGCACCCCCCAGCCCCGGGGTGCCTCCGAAGAGGGCCAAGGTGGGGGCCGGCGGAGGGGCCGGGGCCGGCGGAGGGCTCGTGGCCGGGGCGCCAGTCTTCCTTCGGCCCCTGAAGGACGCCGCAGTGTTTGTGGGCTGCGACGTGCGGCTGCGGGTGGTGGTGAGCGGAGCGCCCCAGCCCAGCCTCAGCTGGTTCCGAGATGGGCAGCTCCTGCCCTCGCCAGCCCCCGAGCCCAGCTGCCTGTGGCTGCGGAACTGCGGGCAGCAGGATGCCGGCAAGTACAGCTGCAGGGCCCAGAACGAGCGGGGCCAGGCCTGCTGCGAGGCCGTGGTCACAGTGCTGGAGGTCGGAGGTAATGGGGAGGGAGGGGCTGGGTGGGTGATCAGAGGTAGAGGACTGCCAGGGCCACGTGCATTCATCCAGACTTCTTCCCAGGTGCTTTGGCGTCTCAGCTGCACTGACCCAGAAGTGCCCACCAAGAGGAAAGTGCAGGGAAAGGGGTGTCAAGGTAGAGAAGCTCCCCACAGGAAGGTCAGAGGTCATGGGTCAGCAGTGGGTAAGCAAAGCCCGAGCCCCACTCAGGCCTCTCTGGGGATTCCATAGCGGACACCCTCATAGTTTCCCCGCAGTGGGAGGCCACCTGCAGAAAATCATCTTCATCAGCTCCAGTAACTTAGACTTGAGACTCCTGATCAGCTCCTGACAGGTGTGTGCACCCCTGGTCCAACTGCAATGTTGAGGGGATGGGTCAGAGCTCCTTGCAGTCTGTTGCTGGGAGAGGTTGGTATGCTCAGCACCAGGCTGGTCAGAAGAGGCCAGTGGGTGGATGAGTATGAATAAATGGGTCCAGGGCAACAGGAGATAGGTCTGGGGGCTCCCAGGCATGTATGGAGGTGTGTGCCTGAGAACCTACATGTCAGCATGTGCTTGTGTGCATATGTGTGGGGGTTGTGGGCTGTGGAGGGGTCTGGTGGTACAAGCAGATGAGGGACAGAGGTTTGTGGAGTTGGTGTAGAAAGCCTATGGCCTGGACACACTAGCGGAGGTTTGGAGAGCGTGGAAAGGGAATGCTTAGGTGGGTGCCTGGGGCGCTGCCCCTCTTGTGTACAGTGCTAGTCTTGTGTGTGAAGGGACCAAGGATGGTCCCAGGCAGGAGAGTGTCTGAGGCTGGGCTTGGTGCTCAGGGTCCTGTGGGTGTGTGTGCCTGACCAGGGCCCATTCTCCTTAGGTCCTTGTTGGGGCTTCCTTTTTGACCTTCTCTAGGCCAAAGGCAGAGCCTTAGGCTAACTGAGCCTTAAGAAACAGAATTCTGAGGAAATAGGCTGCAGTTAGGGGAGATGGCAACGAGCTTGCGGGGGGGAGGGTGGGGGGGGGTCACTCAGTGTGTCTGGGCAGTTTCAAGAGGGAATTCTCACTCCAGCTGGCTGGTGTCATGTAGGGGTACATCCTTGGGGGCTGAGGAGAAGGCATAGGGATATGAAGTGCCTTAGGAGCTGGAGGGAAAGAAGGTGCTAAGGTGCAGCCATGACAGGAGATGGAGCAGGGGCTCACCCTCCCTCTGTCAGCATCTTCTCTTTCCCTAGCTCCACCCTGCCCACCCTCCTGCAGTCTTCAGTGACTAGTTCCTTGGAGTTTCCTGAGGCCAAGCATGAGGCAGAGAAGGCCAAGGCTGGCTTCCTTGACTGGCCTTGTACTTGGCCAGGTACAGGCTTTCCCAGTCTGGAGTTAGAGAATGGGGCTCATCCTGGAAGAGCTTTGAGCTGGGGAGGGATCGGACTCCTTGAGGGATCTTAGCTCTGGTCCCCTAAGGGGATGGGAAACAGAACATAAATCGAAGGGCATGATAGATAGAGTGATGAGACAGCAGCTCAGGGAAAGGAAGTGCTGAGGAGCTTGGTGGTCACAAAGTTTGTTTAGAGCTGGAAAGAACCACAAGGAACTGAAGCTCCAGACGCCTCCTTTTACAGGTGGGGACACTGTGGTCCAGAGCGCAGGGAGATCTGCCCAAAGACATACAGCTAATTATGGCCACCCTGAATTAAGAACCCAGGTTTTCTCTCTGGAAGCTTTTTACTGCTCCAGGAGTTCTAGAGGAGGGAGAGAGTAAGCGAGGGGAGCTGTCCATTGTGTAGAGCAGTGGTTCCCAAACTTATTTGGCCTACCGCCCCCTTTCCAGAAAAAATATTACTCAGCCCCTGGAAATTAATTTTTTTTAATTTTAATAGCAGTTACTCATCGCCCCCAAATGCACCTGTGGCCATCACCGCCCCCCTGGATCGCTGCAGCGCCTACCAGGGGGCGGTAGCGCCCACTTTGGGAATCACTGGTGTAGAGAGTAGCTCAGGCCTGGTCTTGAAGATGAGAGCCTCCTAGCCTGCCCTGGTCCCCCAAAGTAGGCAGAGTGATAGGGTACTAGAGCCCCTTTCCTTGGGGCAGGGTTGTCTTCTCAACCCCTCTGTCATCTGGGTGGCATGGCCAGCAGACTGAGCCCTGGCTGGCATATCTAGATGGAGGCCAGGGGGATGGTCTCCAGGCTGTCTGTTGGAACAGCATGTGGGAGAGGAAAGGACCCTGGGGGCAGTGGCACTGGACTTGGGGCCTTTAGACAGTCATGTTAAACAGGAAGAGGGTTGGGCTGCAGCAAGTCACATTTGAGAACTTTTCCCACCTGTGAAACCTTTAGCCCAAGAGCAGCTTTATAATTAATATTAATTGGTAATAATTTTTAGTAGTAACTTATAATAGTATGAATAGCTACTACGCTACTGTGTGGCAGGCAATATGCTGTCATATCTTTTGACATATCATTTAAGCCCCACGTAGCCCTGGGGAAACTGAGGCACAGAGGGATTAAGTGGCAGGTACTGCTGTACAGATAGCAGGTGGCAGAGCAGGGACGAAAGCCTTGGTTTGTTCCACTGCGAAGAAGAACCACGTACTTAACGACTACACCCCTCCCACATGATTTGGGAGAGGGAGGGGCTTTGCTTTGGTGATGTTGGGGGCTGACTAGGTGAGTCCAGCTTCTTTCTCCTCCTATTGCTTCCTCACTCCCACCAGTCCCTGCCCAATGGCAAGTTCTGGTCAGGGGCAGCTGGGCAAGCAGCTCAGCATTGCTCAGACTTTCTCATGGAAAACGTTCTTGGTTAGGATCAACAGTGGGAGGACTTCAGGGCTCTCGAGGAAGCCCAGCCAGGACCTGGATGCAGAGGGAAGGAGGCAGTTTCCTGGCTGGAACTGTTGTCTGGCTCAGCAAGATGGGGTTGATGCTGAGGTTCCTGGCACTCCTAAAGCCTGAACTGTTAGCTCAAGAATGGAGGGACATTGCATGGCTTGGGGAGGCTGGGCCCTTGAGAAGACAAGTGGACTGAAGGATGGAAAGTTTGAAAGATGGGAAACAGAAGGTTGGGATTTAGGGCCTAGAAATGAGGAAAGAATAGGAACAGTGAAGATGGTAGAACTATAGAATCCTTAACATGTGTAAAGCACCTTATCTCATTTTATTTTTTAATTCCTTAGCCCAGGTTATTGTTATGTTATTACACATATAAGAAAACGGGGTTATAGAGGGAATTTACCCAAGGTCACATGGCTAGTAAGGTGGCAGAGCCAGATCTGAAAGCCAGGTCTCTGGGTCTAGGTCCACATTTCCTGTCAATATCCCAAAGTCATCTCCTGGCCCGTCTCCAAGACAGGCAGGCAGTCTTCTCCTTCGAAATCTCAGGTTCCCATCTGCATGTGCAAATCAAGTGACCAGAGTAAGTGCCACCCTCAAAGCTTGGGGCATGTGGCTGGAAGGGAAGGTCTGCACCAAAGGGCAGGGGGTAAGGAGGATCTGATGATGCTCACTGTCCAACTGGAAGTTTCATAGCCAAGAAACCAGTGTCAATCGGAAGGGCCAAAGGTCAACAGATGGTAGTGAACCATGCAGGAGGTGGGGAATTTGAAGAGAGGTTAGGGACAGGGAGAAAGGGCCAGTTTATTTATTTTATTGTTTAAATATGTTTTTTTTTAAAAAATTGATTTCAGAGAGAGGAAGGGAGTGAGATACAGAACTAGAAACATCAATGATGAGAATCATTGATTGGTTGCCTCCTGTACACCCTCCACTGCAGATCGAACCCATAACCTGAGCATGTGACCTGACCAAGAATCAAAACATAACCTTCTGGTTCATAGGTTGGTGCTCAACCACTGAGCCACACCAGCCAGGTGAGAAAGGGCCAGTTTAGACAAGGGAAAGGTGGGGAATGCACCAGAGCCTGCATTGAGGTATATTCTGCAGTTGTCATATTTTTCACCTGGAATTTGGAATGTCTGGATAAAAAGCCAGGAGGGAACCAGTATGGAGTTGGGGATAGGTATGGAGTGTCTCCATCCATGCATGCCAGGTCCTAATCAGGAGAGGAGGAGGGACCAGAGAGGAGCTCCTGGAGGAAAGAAAGAGAAGAGCAGAGAGATCCGGAAACCAGCCTGAAGCAAGGCAGGTCCTCCCAAGCAGATCCTGAGTGGAATGTGAGATGGAAACTTCTCCAGCCATTTTTTGCAAAAGGCCTGGGTCAGGACAGAGAAGGGAGGAAGGCTGGATGAATGAGCTGCTGCAGGAAGATTTACTATCCCCATCCCCACCACCTCTTGTCCTCTCCACCTCCAGCTCTGTCATCCACTCACATGTTTATCAGGTGGCTACTGTGTGTCAGTCACTGTTCTCAGGATACATGAGTGTGGGGAGGGGGTAAAGCCCCAAACTCCTGTCCCCCTAGAGCAGTGGTTCTCAACCTTGGCTGCACATTAGAATCACCTGGGAATCTTTTTAAAAATCCTGATTTTCCCGGCCTCATCCTCCGGAAATTCTGTTGTTTTTTTTTTGTATTAGGGGGGGGCCACAATTTCTAGGGACATATGAA